CCCCCCCCCCCGCCCCATTCCCATCAAGCTTGAATTTACTTTCAGTTTGGGAAGATGGGACTGTTTTTACATTTTGGTTAGAGGAAAATAGAGCAAAGACTTGTATTCCGCCTAAGCTTTTATAAGTTCGGGAAGGACAAGTCTATGTGCTCCACAGCCCCGTGCAAATGTGTTGCTTGTAAGCAGAGTGGGTGAAATTCAAATATTTTAGATTTGCTCTAGCTGGGAAAAGGCAACATCGGATACCTAGCACGATCTCTGAAGTTAAAAAATGACCTTTCATTGCATAATTTTGAAGGTAACCTAGTTGCATAATTATATTTGCACTTACAGAAGACGGCATCAGAGTTCCCTTATTGGTTTAAAATTCCATTAAATATATTGCAAGAGCTCCTAGGTTAAGCTTGATTTAAATTTGCATACATTTTCATATATTTAGCAGAAATAAAAGAAGGCTTGCAGCTACCAGAAATTCATTAAGGCATTAGTTTCTCTAAGAAGACAGATCTGAAGAAAATGCAAGAAAATGAGAAAAAAAAAAAAAGGTGAGCTTATTCTGACATTCCTTTATACAGCTTAAGAGCGTATATTTCCTGTGAAATGAGTAATTTCTTATGAGAGCACAGAGCAGCAAGAGCTTATGTTGGTAAATGTAAACTGTGTCTATTATGCAGGAAAGTCTGGCATCTGGTTGAGATCTATTTCTTTCTCTCTTAAAAAAAGGATAAACACTTAGTAATTATTGGTAGAGAGGATCACTTGCCATCTTCTGCCCTCCCCCTTCTCCCTCATTGAAACTGCTTTCATTTGCTGGTGTCCTATTGTAAAGGTTTATCTGCTTTTAACCTAGAAATTGATTTTTTCCTCTCTCCCTTCCCTTTCCTCCACTCTCCTCCCCTCCCCTTCCCTTCCCTTCCCTCCCTTCCCTTCCCTCCCTTCTCTTCCCTTCCCTCCCTTCCCCTCCTCTCCTTTCTCCTCCTTCCCTCTCCTCTCCTCTTCTCCTTCTGCCCAGGAACGTCCTTTCTTTACTGCCAACTGTGTGTATCTTCCGTTGCAAGAATGCAATCTCATTTGTGCCCGAACTTTTGCTTCATGAAGAAAAAAATAACTTGTTAAAATTAAACAAAAATAAAAGTTTTCCGGCGCTCTGTTAGACTGCCTGTTCAAGGATCCATTTGCCAGTCTGGGTTGGGTCAGTTTAGAGGTCAGAGGGAAACACATTGAAGAAACTATACGAGCAAAAGGATCATGATCATTGCCATGTTGTTGTTGTCGGTGGGTTCCCCACCCCCACCATTGCAGCTGCGTTTGGTTGAAAGAGTTGTTAATCTTAGCCTGGCCATTCAGGGAGTTAAGGCAATTATCAATTGATAAGACTTTTGCATGAAGAAGAAGTGGGTCCTCTTCCAATTCTGACTTGCCTGAGTTCTTAAAAAAAGACCTTCCTCTTGCCTGTGGCTTCGGCTCTGCCTCTGAGCGAAGAGGTAAGGCCAGCCGCGCCAAAGTGGTTCAGACATTTTGCCCCGAGGCTGGTTGTGGGGGGTGCGGTGGTGTTGAGGACGGGGCATCTGCACCCAGCGACAGGCTTTTCCACACCGTTGCTTTTCAGTCTTTTAATATAAGAATAGCTTCTGTCAGGAACAAAAACCGATGTTAGTTGTCTTTTTCCTTTCCATTATTTCCTTTCCTTTTTCTTTCTTCCTTCCTCCTTTCCTTTTTCTTTCTTTCTTTCTTTCTTTCTTTCTTTCCTTCTTTCTTTCTTTCTTTCTTTCTCTTTCTTTCTTTTCTTTCTGTTTCCTTCCTTCCTTTCTTTCTTTAGTTTTAATAATTAGTTCCCATGAATATAGATACTGCCTATTGAATTCAGGTGGAATCATGTCCTTTAGCAGCTGAAATAGAATCTCTTGCACGTTAGGTGCTTTGTTTTTTAAGAAAATATCTGCATATAGTCAAATCTTCTTGCTGTTCTAACTAATCTGCTGGAGAGGTTTCCTTCGCCTTCTCCTGTCAGTCTAACTTCCCAAGTGTAACAGATGCCGCTCTCAAGCACTCCTTTCTGTGGCTTCTCTTTATTCAGCCTTGCATATTTCTCCCCATGATCTGGGTTTCCATAGAGAGAGGAATAAAAGAGGGGACCATGGTCACAAATCCCCTGCCCCATGCAAAATAAAAGAGCCTCATTCAATATACGACCCTGTCTGGACATGGGAGAAAAATAAGTCCATGAGAAGCTACTGTTGCAAAGAGCTTGTAACTTATTTTTCATAGACTGCATTTTGCCTTAAACTCAAAAGTTACCACTGGTAAACCTGCTGTCTTGGGTAGCTGGGCTAAATACACAGCTTGGTGTTCTCCTCACTGAGATCTTGAAGTCCACTACCAGATCCTCAGATCTGATTTACCCCACCCCCTTCAGAGCTATGGTTTGAATATAATAATTGCTGTCGAACCCGGCCAGGCTGGGGCAGCTAAAAGTTGCCCTGGAGGGGATCCAGACTTAGAATTGGAGAAACTAATTTTAGCAAGTCTGCACACCTATCTCCAGCAAGGCAACACAGGTTTCGATTACCATGCCTGGCCAGCACACAGTACCAACTTCATTCCTCCTAGGGTTGCCTTCACACCCCAACTCGCTACCCCTCCCTACTCATCACTTTGCTTGATTTCTAAGAGGACTATTCAGTTAATTTCCAAAAGCAAGTCAGATCATCTTGACTTACTTGTACTCATTTATTTGTAAACTGGGGGTTCACAGTGGCTTTCCTCCCTCACAATATTTAAGGATATAAAACAACTCCTGAGAGTCTTTGCAGACCTTATGCCCCCCTCCCTTCCCTTTCGAAGCAAGAAAGGACTAACAAAAGAAATTAAGCAGGTTAATGTAGTTCATGTCGCCCATTCCTGTGGAAGCCTCTGAGCATGGTTGAAGTCGGGCAGCCTGTGCCCAGGCTGGTTCAGAAAGTGCCCCGGCCATGGGGATTATGCTGCTTGTAGATTTCATATTTGAGTGTAGATTACGAAGTGTTCTCGCCATACAAATTGGAAGAGGGGGAGACTGTCTGTGGCTGGGGATGGATGGGGTTGAGGAGGGGATTAAGGAAAAAAGTCCAAATGGCCAGATTTGAATGTGTATAATGCAGCATAAAGCTCCAGAAGGTAGGACATGGCACATAGACATGACCTCAAATTGCAAACTTCACCTTCAACACAAGTTCACTTTGGAAGCAGGATGAGTTACGTTGGGCTTGGTGAGGACAAGTACACATTTTCTTTTTATAACCAGAGAGCTCATGAGGGAAGGGAAATAATTGAACAGCCTCTGAAAGGAAATAAGAAACCTTTTCCCTGATGTATGTACACTGAGCTCATGAGACATTCTCAGTGTGAGACACAGCTGCCCTACAAAGAGCCAGTCTACTGTACCTGCTCTTATAGTTGTTGTTGTTGTTCTTCTTCTTCTTCTTCTTGGCAAACTGCATGGGGGAAGGTTAAGGGCTCAATATTCTTAGGGAGAATTAAAAAAAAATTAGATGGCATTAGCAGACATTAGCCAATACTGATTCAAGCTCAATTAGTTTATTTT